AAAAAAAAAAATAAAAAATAAAAAAATAAAAAATAAAAATAAAAAAACAAAACAAAACACAAAAACATTCTAGTTAAGGAGACACAACACAAAAGACCCACCAGTAAAATGTGTTAATATGTTACATGTGACATGTGACAAGGCTATTTTAGACAATATGACTGGGGGATAATGCCGGCCACAAGGTACCACATAAGCATCTGTGGATTAACAGATGGGACACAAAGGGTCAAAAAAAAACATTTGACACATGGAAGGCATGGTGGCACTTCAGAGCTCAGAGACATAAAGGGACTTCACGGAGAAAAAAAGAACCCTTAAACAAAGAAAGTTAGGGCAGTGCCTATGGCTCAAGGAGTAGGCCAGCCCCATATGCCAGATGGTGGTGGGTTCAAACCCAGCTCCGGCCAAAAAAAACAAAACTGCAAAAAAAAAAAAAAAAAAAGAAAGTTAAAACAATGTGAGGTTTAAAGGAATGACCTAGGTACTCCATAGAGGGGAGGCCCACCTCCTGGATGTACTGAACCTCACTCTTCAGCTGGCTGATATTCTTCTCATGGATCATCTTCTCTCCAGACCTCCCCTTCAAGTACACCTGAAAAAATGAAGTAATACTATTTAGTTAAGAAACTTCTAATGTATTCCACAAAAAAGGCAGCTTCATACAACACTGGCTAAATTGTCATCATCCACTTACTCAGTAGTACTTTGTGATTCAGATCAGAATATACATTTTCATATATACTCTGAATACACATATATGCAAAAATACAGAATATATACTCAAAAATTTATTTACTTGGGTAGCGCCCATAGCTCAGTAGACAGGGTACCAGCCACATACACCGAGGCTGGTGGGCTTGAACCTGGCCTGAACCAGCTAAACAGTGACAACTACAACAACAAAACAAAGAATAGCCAGGTGTTGTGGCAGACGCCCATAGGTCCCAGCTATTTGGGAGGCTAAGGCAAGAGGATCACTTCAGCCCAAGAGTTTAAGGTTGCTGTGAGCTGTGATGCTACCGCACTCTATTGAGGGTAACAGAGTGAGACTCTGTCTCCAAAAACAAAACAAAAAAAATTATTTACCTTTGTTTTTTTTTTTTTCCAGACAGAGTCTCGCAGCTAGGACTACAGATGACCAACACAGCACCTGGTTAGTTTTTTCTATTAGAGGCAGGTGGATTACTTGAGCTTAGGAGTTCAAGACCAGCCAGAGCAAGAGTGATACTCCATCTCTATTAAAAATAGAAAAACAGGTTCGGTGCCTGTGGCTCAAGTGGCTAAGGCGCCAGCCACATACACCTAAGGTGGCGGGTTCGAATACAGCCCGGGTCCGCCAAACAATAATGATGGCTGCCACCAAAAAATAGCCAGGTGTTGTGGTGGGCACCTGTGGTCCCAGCTACTTGGGAGGCTGAGGCAGAAGACTAGCTTGAGCCCAGGAGTTAGAGGTTGCTGTGAGCTGTGATGCCACAGCACTC